GGATATCATGCCTGCTGCTGAGTGGAGCAGACAGCCTCATGGGAGGGCAAAGATGGGGTGATAGTCACAAGAAGGTGGTGAAGCCTGCAGGGGGATCAGAATGCATGGGGGTGGGGCTAGGTTGGGAATGAGCAAGGGTCTTGGGGAAAGGGAGTGGCTGCAGTACCTTGGAGGAATTGGAGAGACTCAGCTCCTTCTGGAGCTACTGTTTAGCGCTATCTACACATATTGCTTCCAGGCGCAGCTCTGGACCTTTTCAGCAATGAAGAATTACTATTACTATTCCCGTTTTATAGATGAGAAAACTGACTCCCAGAAAAGAGAAGTAACTTACCCAAAGTCACCCTGCTGGTAATGGCAGAGCTGGAATTTGAATTCAGATCCAGCTGACCGCTGATTTCTTCAACTCCCATCCATCTGTGAGCAAGGTCAGTAACGCCAACAAAGGCAATGGCCAAGTTATCGCACCCACTGTCCAGGTGAGGGCCGTTGACAGGCGGCAGGGGCAGCTGAGCTCCTCTGCAGTGCTCCAGCTGGGAGGGGGTTGGGGGAGCGGAACTGCTGTTCGCGTGGGCTCTGCGGGGAAGGCGGAGGTAGGCAAGACCTATGGGACCAACGGAAGCTCCAAGACCATGGCCTCAATCCAGAGGGGTCCAAGGGGCCTCCCCCTGGAGGCGAGCCCTGTCCCTGGGATGGGTGACCCTGATGGCGCCCCAGAAAGGCGGGGGAGATCAGCCAGTAGGGGGCGAGGGAAGTGGGCGGGGAAAGGGCTCAGAAAACCCAGCTCCAAAACCCCTCCTTCCTACAAGGCTGAATACTAACTACCTGGTGTGGTCTGGGGTGAAGGCCAAGTTAAGTTCCACGTTAGGGTCCTGAAAATGTCATTGTGGTTTTGAGACCATTGGAAGACGGAGTCCTGGCATTCAGAGGAGAGGGCCAAGGAGCGTTGTCAGCAAGGAAGAACCTCTGGCCACCCTTGGTCAGTTTGCAGCCCAAGCTGCCACAAATTCACTAGAGAGAATGGTGGAAAGTGAGCTCATTGTGGCTCGGTCGCCTCTGTCCTGGGCTCTTCCCCATTGCAACCCAGGGTGGACTTTGGTAGGCCCACTTCTTTCACTCCCTGGAGCTGTGGCCAGCCGTCCCAGGGAGGTGGGCAAGGACTGGGAGGTGCCTGAGCTGCAGATCAGGTCCCCAGGCAGGGACCCTCCTGCCTCCTGGTACTGAGGAACCTGCAGTGAAGCCAGTGTGATGCTGCCCAGGCCCTGCAGGGCTTATAGCTCTTCTACTGGACAGTGTTATAGGTCCTTTTGAAAATAATTTGAAAGAATGAGTCAGTGATGGTAGTTAAAAGGATTTAGTTTGGTTTTGAGTGCTCTTGGCAAATTAAAAAGTTGGTTAATCTATGTAATCTATTCTCTCCCATTTTTTTTGATAGCTTATCTTTTTTATTTTTTATTATTTTTATTTTTATTTTTTTTTCCATCCAAAATACACTGTGTATTGGTTCAATCAAGCACATCAACATACATGTTTTCAGCAAATAATTTTCCAATTCTTATGTCTTGTATACTTTGTTTTTTGCCATCCTTGATTCCTTATCCTTCACTCTCTGCCGTGTCCTACCCTCCTCCCACATTGTCTCTGGTATCCATGGTTGCTTTCTATGCCTTACCCCCCCCCCATTAAATTGATTTGCTAATGAGCTTAATTAGTCTAGATATATCCAATAGCTAGCACAGCTGATATATACCTATACATGAACCCAAGTCTGACTTTAGGCATAAACCCCAGTGAGCAGAATGAACATATTATAAAGTAGTATCCAGCTGGGGCTATATAGCTTACTGCAGTCATCAAATATGCATTTTTTAAAAATTTCAATATGAACAGTTTTACTGTGTTTTTTTTCTCCTGCAACTTTTTTTAAAAATTACTTACCATTCATTCCCTGAGCATCATCACAATGTACTAAATGTGGTTTCCCATCTAGAATAAATTGCATAGTGGCTTAATCATGCATGTTATCATCAATAATTTCCATTTCTACTTTCATACATATGTATACATATATGTATGTTCTTTACCCCATGTTTGACCCTCTGCCCTTTCCCCCTCTCCCATTACACTATCTCTGCTATATACAGTTG